CATTAGACTGCCTTATACTACCATCTTTTACGAATGAATTACACATTGTGTACTCTGTATCTGCCTTCTTTATTTAATTTAATTTTATTAATTTTTATTTATTTTTTTGAGATGGAATCTTGCTCTGTCACCCAGGCTGGAGTGTAATGGCACGATCTTGGCTCACTGCAACCTCTGCCTCCCTGTTCAAATGATTCTCCTGCCTCAGCCTCCCGAGTAGCTGAGACTACAGGCATGTGCCACCATGCCCAGCTATTTTTGTATTTTTAGTAGAGACAGGGTTTTACCATGTTGGCCAGGCTGGTCTCAAACTCCTGACCTCAGGTAACCCACCCACCTCGGCCTTCCAGAGTGCTAGGATTACAGGTGTGAGCCACCATGCCCAGTCTATATCTGGCTTCTTTTCAACATTATGTTTGTGAAGTTAATCTGTGTTGTTTTATATAATTACAGTTCACTCATCTTTCACGAGCTTAAATCTCTTTACAATAAAATTGTAAGAGAATTGTAAAAAAGTTTAAGCTCATGATATGCCATAAACTGTACCATTTGATGTGTTTTGACAAGTGTACACCCATATCAGTACCACAAGCAAGATCATGAATATATCTATTTCCTCAAAATATTCCATGAATTTTTTTTTTAAACGGAGTCTTGCTCTGTCACCCAGGCTGGAGTGCAGTGGTGTGATCTCGGTCACTGCAACCTCTGCCCCTCGGGTTCAAGCGATTCTCCTACCTCAGACTCCTGAGTAGCTGGAACTACAGGCGTGTGCCACCGTGCCTGGCTAATTTTTTTGTATTTTTAGTAGAGACAGGGTTTCACCGTGTTTTAGATTGATGGTCTCAATCTCCTGACTTCATTATCCACCCATCTCGGCCTCCCAAAGTTCTGGGTCCATGAATTTTTAAAACTAAAAATGGGACCTGGAAAAAGTGAACATCTTAGGGCCATAATGACCTCTGGACCCCTTGCAGAAGGTTGAAACAGATAATATTTATTTTGGTCTATTTGAGAAGACTTTAATGAGAAAATTTTCTATTATATATGTTCTATTTTTTAAATTAGTCAAAATTTGCACACACAAACTGAACCAATTTTTGGATTAACTCCAATAAGTACAATAATAGTGTTTAGAGAGTTATAGATAAAAGAATATTTGCTATATCAATCTTTTTTAACATGGCGTTTTTTTACTTTGCAGAATACTTTTGTTATAATGTGCAGTTCTTCCATCTCCTGACTTACATCATCATAGTGATGCATAGTTGAGGAATTATAAGAACAGAAGCGTCAAAAGACTATAAAGTCAGAACAACCTGATTTTTGACAAGGAAGGAAAATATATTCTGGCATACTTAAAATTAGTGCCAGGAGCAAGTCCAAGTGGATTTTCATAGGTGATTTGAGAGTACTTAAGGAAAAGACATGATCATTTAGAGCCAGCCTGATTTGCCAAAAAACAGGCTAAGCCACACTAACTTTATTTTTCAGATAAGATTAGTATATTGGTAGTCTGGAAAATGCCATACAAAGAATGTGAAACATGAAATCCTTGTGGGCCAAATGAAAAAATGTGGACCAGATTATGATGCAGTTAGACCTTGGTTGACTGACTTTGACCCACAAAAGCAGATAAATGTTCCCTTAGACTGAGGCTTTTGGTTACATTGCAAGGTGCTATCATGGGCTCTATTACATTTAATATTTTAGTAATTATTTGGATTGAAATCACATAACTTTAAATTCATAGATCACATGTAGTTGTTAAGTATTATTAATGTATTCATTGACACTAAAGAATGGCGAGGTGCTGTGGTTCACGCCTATAATCCCAGCACTTGGGAGGCTAAGGTGGGCAGATCACAAGGTCAGGAAATCGAGACCATCGTAGCCAACATGGTAAAACCCTGTCTCTACTAAAAATACAAAAAAAAAAAAAAAAAAAAAGAATTATTCAGTAAAGCTGGACACAATGGCTCCTGCCTGTAATCGGGGGTGTGGTGGCTCACACCTGTAATCCCAGCACTTTGAGAGGCCGAGGCAGGTGGATCATGAGGTCAAGGGATCAAGACCTATCCTGGCCAACATGGTGAAACCCTGTCTCTACTAAAAATACAAATATTAGCCAGGCATGGTGGCAGGCACCTATAGTCCCAGATACTTGGGAGGCTGTGCAGGAGAATCACTTGAACCAGGGAGGCGGAAGTTTCGGTGAGCCGAGATCACGCCATTGCATTCCAGCCTGGGTGACAGAGCGAGACTCTGTCTCAAAAAAAAAAAAAAAAAAAAAAAATTCAGTAAGCCTAATTGTGAAATTCAGTACTTAAGTTAGAAAATTAATGGTACAGGTCAGGCACAGTAGCTCACACCTCTAGTCCCAGCACTTTGGAAGGCCAAAGTGGGATGATTACTTGAGCGCAGGAGTTGGTGGTTGCAGAGAGCTATAATCACACCAGTGCAATCCAGCCTGCATGACAGAACAAAACCATCTCTACAAAAGCAAACAAGCAGTTGGTGCAGTATATTTCAGGTAAACATATCCTTCAGCAGTACATGGAAAGGCAAGGATTGTGACTGACTTTAATCTTATGCTTCATTAATTAAAACTGAACCAATAATCAAAAAATTAAGAAAAAAAACTGAACCAAATGAACATTGTCTCTCTCTATTCTTGCTTGGTCGGACCATACCATAATTTCAAAGAAACGCTGATGAACCAAAGGTATCTGTGTTAGTCCATTTGCAAAGGACTAAGGAATACCTGGCCAGGCATCGTGGCTCATGTCTGTACTCCCAGCACTTTGGGAGGATGAGGCAGGTGGATCACCTAAGCTCAGGAGTTGGAGGCCAGCGGGACCAACATGGTAAAATCCTGTTTCTACTAAAAATACAAAATTAGCCAGGCATTGTGGTGCATGCCTATAATCCCAGCTACTCAGGAGGCTGAGGTGGGAGAATTGCTTGAATCTGGGAGGCAGAGGTTTCAGTGAGCTGAGGTTGCGCCATTGCATTCCAGCCTGAGCAACAAGAACAAAACTTCATCTCAAAGGAAAGAAAGAAAGAAAAGAATACCTGAGGCTGGATAATTTTAATTTATAAAGAAATATTTATTTTGGCTCATGGGTTCTGCAGGCTGTACAGGAAGCATGGTGCCAGCATCTGCTTCTACTGAGTGCTTCAGGAAGCTTACAGTCATGGCTCATAAGGCTAAGGGGAGCCACCATCTTACACAGTGAGAGGGAGAGCAAGAAAGAGAGAGAGAGAGAGAGAGAAGAGGAGGACCCAGAAGGAAGAGGAGAGAGAAGGAGATGGAGTCTTGCTCTGTTGCCCAGACCAGAGTGCAGTAGCATGATCTTGGCTCACTGCAACCTCTGCCTCCTGGATTCAAGCAATTCTCCTGCCTCAGCCTCCCAAGTAGCTGGGATTACAGGCATCCACCACCATGCCCAGCCACTTTTTTGTATTTTAGTAGAGATGGGGTTTCACCATGTTGGTCAGGCTGGTCTCAAACTCCTGACCTCAGATGATCTACCCACTTTGTTCTCCTAAAGCATTGGGATTACAGGCATGAGCCACCGCGTCCAGCCCCAGACTCTTAAACAATCAAGTCTTGTGTGAACTCGGAGTGAGAACTCACTCACTACCAGGAGAAGGGCACAAAGCCATGCATGCGGGATCCATTCCCATGATCCAGACACCTCCCACCAGGCTCTTCTCCAACACTGGAAGTCACATTTTAACATGAGATTTGATAAACATCCAAACTATATCAATATTCATAGGTGGCTAACCAGGATAATAGGACTTTGGAACCGTGTCTTATGAAATTGCTAAATAAGGCCGGGCACGGTGGCTCAAGCCTGTAATCCCAGCACTTTGGGAGGCCGAGGCGGGTGGATCACGAGGTCAAGAGATCTAGACCATCCTGGTCAACATGGTGAAACCCTGTCTCTACTAAAACTACAAAAAAATTAGCTGGGCATGGTGGCGCGTGCCTGTAGTCCCAGCTACTCAGGAGGCTGAGGCAGGAGAATTGCCTGAACCCAGGAGGCGGAGGTTGCGGTGAGCCGAGATCGAGCCATTGCACTCCAGCCTGGGTAACGAGCGAAACTCCGTCTCACAAAAAAAAAAAAAAAAAAAATGAAATTGCTAAATAAATCATTTTCTCCACAGAAGAAAGGCCAAGGGAGATGGGATCAATATGTCTTCCACCGTCTGAAGGAGAGTTATGTGGCAGACACCAGATTTACTCTTTGTGACTTCAGAGGACAAAGCCTCTGGATCAATGTTCAGAAACTCCTATGTAGACAAAGTTTATCTCAATGTAAGAACATTCTAGCCATTAGGATTGTGGGCTGCTTTGAGGAGAGTGATAGACAAATGGCCTCCCAAAGATGTCCACATCTTAATCCATGGACCGACCCCTCTATATGTTACTTTACACAGCAAAAGGGACTTTGCAGATGTAGTAATTTAAGGATCTTAAAGTAGGAGACTATCTTGGATTATCCAGATAGCACATTGTAATCACATGGGTCCTTAAAAGATGGAAGAAGGGGTTGGGCATATTAGCTCACACCTGTAATCCCAGCACTTTGGGAGGCTGAGGCAGGCAGATCATGAGGTCAGGAGTTCGAGACCAGCCTGGGCAACATGGTGAAACCCTGTCTCTACTAAAATACAAAAATTAGCTGGGTGTGGTGGCGGACGCCTGTAATTCCAGCTACTCAGGAGGCTGAGGTGGGCGAATTGCCTGACTCCGGCAGGCAGAGGTTGCTGTGATCCAAGATCACCAAGATCGCACCACTACACTCCAGCCTGGGTGACAGAGCCAGACTCCATCTAAAAAAAAAAAAAAAAAAAAGATGGAAGGTGGCAGAAGAATCAGAGATGTGTTGTTATAAGTAGGTCAGAGTCAAAGAGAAATGTAAAGATGATGTCTTAGCCTACTTGTGCTGCTCTAACAAAATACCACAGACTAGGTAATTTATAAAGAACAGAAATTTATTTCCCCACAGTTGTGGAGGCTGGGAAGTCCATAATTGAAGGGCTGGCATCTTGCAAGGGCCTTTATCCTCTGTCATCCCATGGTGGAAGGTAGATGTGCAAAGGGAAGGCAAGAAAAAGACAAAAGGGGTTCCCTTATTTTATAAGGAACTCGCTCTCAAAATAATGACATCGATCCATTTATGTTTTGGGTGTTTCGTTTGTTTGTTTTTAAGATGGAGTCTTGCTCTGTTGCCCATGGCAGCGTGACTCATCTTAGTCTCTAATTTTTGACCTGGTAAGACATCTTTTTTGATCTCTTAATTCCTAGCCTACTTGGTCCTGACTTGATATGGATGTTCTTCCTGACATCCCAGTGACTGATTCTCAGCACACCACGACTCCTTTTTTGTTCCTACCCTATCTTCTCTGTGTTGGCAGCTAGACCCACTTATTCTTTGGGGCTTTCAGGAAGGCACACTCTAGTAGCTCTCTATTGACTTTACTGTTCACTCACTCTAATAGGGCTGTGTTCCAGTTCTGTCTCCGAAAGAACTTCTGTGGTTCTAGCAAGTTGTTACTAAAAGGTGTTGAGGCCAGGCATGGATGTTCATGCCTGTAATCCCAGCACTTTAGGAGTATCTCTTGAGGCTAGGTGTTCAAGACCAGCCTGGACAACACAACAAGACCCCCTCTCTACAAAAAAATACAGGTGCACGCCACCATGCTCATGCCACCATGCCCACTACTTAGGAAGCTGACGTGAGGCGATCGCTTGAGCCCATGAGTTCGAGCTGCAGTGAGCTATGATCACACCGCTACACTCCAGTCTGGGCAACAGAGTGAGACCCTGTCTCTAGGGAGGAAAAAAAGGCACATTGGATTAATTGTCCTCTCTAGAATAAAAGTTTCCATTCTAAATTAGCATAACCATCAACAACTACCTTCCAGCACTGACAGACCAACCCACCATATTCCCCTTTAGTGAATCCAAAAAGAAAACAGCTGTTGAAATTGAGCAAGGGAGAGAGGCCTTATATATATCTGCACTTCTCTAAATCTTACTGAATATGATGCCCAAACATATGCCATTAATAGCTTAACAGGTCAGACTTTAGTACTTTTTAATAAATAGATATGATTTTTGCAAATACTGTTCTTTTTTTTTCTTTAAGATGGGGTTTCACCATGAAGGCCAGGCTGGTCTTGAACTCCTGACCTCAGGTGATCCACCCACCTCGGCCTCCCAAAGTGCTAGGATTACAGGTGTGAGCCACTGCGCCCGGCCAATAGATATGATTTTTAAAGTTTGGCTGAGTTATGGGCGAATCTGCATTCTCTTACCCACATCAGAGAATAGACTAGACAGTAAGCTCACAAAACCACAAACTAGGCATCACCATTCACTTGGTAGCCAGTACCTGAGTTATAAATACAATGACTCACAGAAAAAAAATTTTCATTAGGCTGGCATCCCCCAAGTTAAATTTGTAACATGAAACAGCCATTTTAAAGTGGTGTCTAGGCCAGGCACAGTGGCTCACACCTGTAGTCCCAGCACTTTGGGAGGCTGAGGCGGGTAGATCACCTGAGGTCGGGGTTCGAGACCAGCCTGGCCAACATGGCAAAACCCAGTCTCTACTAAAAATACAAAAATTAGCTGGGCATGGTGGCAGGCACCTGTAATCCCAGCTACTTGGGAGGCTGAGGCAGGAGAATTGCGTGTACCGGGAGGCAGAGATTGCAGTGAGCTGAGACTGTGTCACTGCACTCCAGCCTAGGTGACAGAGTGAGACTCCATCTCAAAAAATAAAATAAAATAAAATGATGTCCAATGACCAATACAATGATGTAGAAAAAAGAAAAAGTGTCAGTGTTGATTACAAAGATAAAAAATAGAGGAAAAAAATAACCATTACAGGAAGAAATGGCCATAAAAGGGATAAGCTTCTGTGGAAGATGTATACAAACCATAAATTTGTTGAAAAATAACATTTACATAGCACTTTACAATATTCTTATACTCTACCTCATTTGTTCCTTGTAACAGTATTCTAATGTTGGTGCTATTATTGTTCCGATTTTTTAAATTAGGAAATTACGGCTGGGCCTATAATTCCAGCACTTTGGGAGGCCAAGGCAGGCAGATCACCTGAGGTCAAGAGTTCGAGACCAGCCTGGCCAACATGGTGAAACCCCGTCTTTACTAAAAATACAAAAATTAGCTGGGCATGGTGGCATGTGCCTGTAATCCCAGGTAATCAGAAGGCCGAGGCAGGAGAATCACTTGAACCTGAGAGGCAGAGGCTACAGTGAGCCGAGACCTCGCCATTGCACTCTAGCCTGAAAGAGCAAAACTCCATCTCAAAAAAAAAAAGAAAAAAAGTGAGGGAGACATTACAAGTGCGAAAGGTTAGGTAGCTTGTCTACGTTCACCCACCTAAAAACAGACAGGAACCAGGACACAATTATACTTTCCCTGATTCTAAGTCCTGGACATTTCTCATTACATAATGCTGCCTCACCTGGTTCGTGGGACACAGTTAAATGCATAGAGGAACTTAACTAGGTAGGCTTGTAAATCTTCATTTTTAGGAATCTTCAAGAAGCGTGTATGTCTTATATAATTTTCACCAATCTGGGAGCACATTTTTAGGCATAATAATCTTTTGAGGTTCTTTTCTGCTCTTCCTTTTCAATTAGTTAGCCTGCTTCTCAGTACTGCTTATGACTTATGATATCTGCCCCAGCTGCATATGGTAAATTTTAATGTTATGTATATTTTACCACAATTAAAAAAAAATTTTTTTTCAGTGAAACAGGCTCCCTTTGTCACCCAGACTAGAGTGCAGTGGCACAATCATGGCTTAGTGCAGCCTCATGGGCTCAAGTGATCCTCCCATTTGAGCCTCCTGAATAGCTGAGACCATAGGCACATGCCACCAAGCCTAGCTATTTTTGAAAATTTTTTGTAGAGAGGAGGTCTCATTATGTAGCCCAGGCTGATCTTGAACTCCTGGGCTCAGGTGATCTTCCTGCCTTGGCCTCTCAAAGTGCTGGGATTACAGGTGCGAACCACCATGCCCAGCATAAGAAAAAAATTATTTTATTATTATTATTATTATTATTATTATCGAGACAGTCTCACTCTGTCGCCCAAGCTGGAGTGCAGGGGTGCGATCTTAGCTCACTGCAACCTCTGCCTCCCAGTGCAAGTGATTCTCCTTCCTCAGCCTCCCAAGTAGCTGGAATTACAGGCATCGCCACCACACCTGGCCAATTTTTGTATTTTTAGTAGAGATGGGATTTCACACCTTCACATTTTGAGGCTAGGCTGGTCTCAAACTCCTGACCTCGAGTGATCCACCCACCTTGGCCTCCCAAAGTTTATTTTATTTTATTTTTGAAGCAGGGTCTCATTTTGTCACCCAGGCTGGTGTCCAGTGGCATGATCTCAACTCACTGGACCCTCAACCTTCTGGGTTCAAGTGATCCTCCAGCCTCTTCACTCCGCCCCACACCCCTGACCCAAGTACCTGGAACTATAGGCCTATGCCACCCGCCTGGCTAATTTTTGTATTTTTTGTAGAGATGGGTTTCACCATGTTGCCCAGGCTAGTCTCAAATTCCTTAGCTTAAGCGATCCAGTCGCCTGAGCCTTGCAAAGTGCTGGGATTACAGGCATGAGCCACTGTGCCCAGCCTAAAAATGTAATTTTAAAAGCATAGGAAATACGAGTCCTCAGCTCTATTATTGAAAGCCTCCATGACCTCCATGTTTCTTGTATAAAATTACCAGATAAGCCACTACAGCATGGAAACACCAGATACAAATGTGAATTTAGTTAAAGAGTTGTGTGTTTGTGGTGTGTGTAGACAGCAGATATCTTGTTTACCTTAGATACTGTCCTTCTGACTGATTCGCCAGAAGCATCAGGCCTCTTTGCTTCTTTTCTTCAGTATGTTGCGTCTTGGCTATTGCAGGTGGAGATGGAAAAGAAATTGCCAATGATGCTGCAAATAACTTCCTTCACTTTCTAACCTAGAGACTGGCTGAAGGAAGAAAAAAGGTGACTGTCAGGTTCCCTGCTGGCCATGCCTCTCAGCCACATGAGCACTGAGCCACTTAATTCCTCCCCAGGGTCAGAAGTGCCCCAGCACCAGATTGTTTATGGGTACCCTAACCACCTTTTCACACTACTTGAGGTTTAGCTTTAAATGTTTTAAGAATTAGCAAAGTAGGCCCAGTGCGGTGGCTCATGCCTGTAATCCCAGCACTTTGGGTGGCTGAGGTGGGCAGATCACCTGAGGTCAGGAGTTTGAGACCAGCCTGGTCAACATGGCAAAGTCCCTTCTCTACCAGAAATAAAAAAATTAGCCGGGCATGGTGGCGTGTATCTATAGTCCCACCTACTCAGGAGAGAAAGGAGAATTGCTTGAACCTGGGAGGCAGAGGTTGCAGTGAGCCAAGATCATGCCACTGTATTCTAACCTGAGTGACAGAGCAAGACTCCGCCTTGGGGAAAAAAAAAAAAAAAAAAAATCCAGGTGTGGTGGCTCACTCCTGTAATCTCAGCACTTTGGGAGGGCAGATCACCTGAGGTGAGGAGTTCAAGACCAGCCTGGCCAGCATGGTGAAACCCCATCTCTGCAAAAATACAAAAATTAAATAGGCATGTTGGTGGGTGCCTGTAATCTCAGCTGCTTGGGAAGATGAGGCAGAAGAATCGCTTGAGCGTGGAAGCAGAGGTTTCAGTGAGCCAAGGTCACGCCATTGCACTCCAGCCTGGGCAACAGAGTGAGACTCCGTCTCAAAAAAAAAAAAAATTAGCAAACCGAATTATTTGATCTTGGTGAGTATTGGCAAATGCTGACCCTGGCCAGGCATGGTGTCTCATGCCTATAATTCCAGCACTTTGGGAAGCTGAGCCAGGCAGATCACCTGAGGTCAGGAGGTTGAGACAAGCCTGGCGAACATGGCAAAACCCTGTCTCTACTAAATATAAGAAAGTTAGCCAGGTGTGGTGGCAAATGCCTGCAATCCCAGGCTACTTGGGAGGCTGAGGCAGGAGAATCACTTAAACCCGGGA